TGATTCAAAGTTGAAAGAACGTTGTTTTTGTGACTGTAACGCTCTTTCTACGCTGCGACTGGTTTTCCACGTTGATTCAACGCTTACATGTTTGCTGGGTGACCAGTGGCACAATCCTTTTCTAAGATCATCAAGTTGATAATGACAAACCTCTTATTATTGTGTAAGTTTAACAGTAGCAGTTTTAAAGCCTTCAGAAAAAGCTGAGCGCTACGTCGTTCATGAATAGTTTTTGCTTTAATTTGTTATTAAATTCAATAAGCGTACCCAGTCGGCAAATAACGTTGAAATAACGTTGAAATATCGTTGAAACCTAACGTTGAATTAACGTTGGTTTAACGTTTAGAATGAAAGTTTTTTTCAACGTTGATTTATTAACGTTAAATCAACGTTAGGTTCAAACGTTATATCAACGTTGAATCGACGCGAAAAAACGTTACAATAACGTTGAATTAACGTTGATTTAACGTTTAGAATGAAAGTTTTTTTCAACGTTAATTTATCAACGTTAAATCAACGTTAGGTTCAAACGTTATATCAACGTTGATTCGACGCGAAAAAACGTTACAACAACGTTGAATTTACGTTGATACAACGTTTGAAATGATAGTGTTTAACGTTGATTTATCAACGTTAAACGACTGTAAAACACTTTTTCACCATCAAAACGTGCTATGTATGTCAAAATGTATATATGTATGTAAACGTGCTATGTGCGTCAAAATATGATCACCATCAAAACGTACTATGCATGTACATTAGTGTTGCTGTACATTATCAAGGTATATTATGGATATTAAATCTATTCATAGTCTATACTTAGACTATATAGAACTTTTTCAGTTTAGTTTAGTAAAGCTAGGTATGATTAAAGAAAGAGATAAAACTTGCTTTATTTAAAAATACATATTCAAATATTACATATATTTACATGTAATTGAATAAAATCTACACAAATTTCTTCTCTTTTCCACCACCTTTTTGAAATAAAGCGTAATTTAGAAAGTCAAACAATGTTCCATTAACCGAGGGTTCTTTTGGTCCATTGAATACAATAGAAGAAGCTGTAAATAAAAAATATATATATAAAATATCAAAAAGGGAAGATTTAAAAAATAAATAATGAATGGAAAAGTGTTACAGCTTATGAAAGCACATCTTTTTCAATGCCATATAGATTAGTGTTCTTAAAACATATTTTTCCACCTTTGCCCTTCATATCCATAGAGACCATATAACTTTTCGAAAATACTCTGAATTTTAAAAAAATAATATAGTTATTAATAACATTTTCAAATATTTAATTTAAATAAAACAACCTTTTTAATATAATAAAAATAAATTGGTAGTCAAAATATAAAACATTTCTAGCATTTAAAAATAATTTTCGGGGTGGCCACATAAAATTTTTATAAGAAATTTTATGTGGCCATTTATTAATGGTTTAACGTCCATGTTTATACACTTATGGGGCTGGGACAGGGATCAAATAATGTCATTTATTATGTTAAATGGCATGCATTTTCTAAAGCAATTTTTTACATTTCATGCACTTTAAGGCGTTAACCAGTTTTGCAGACCGAGAATGGGTATTTTGAACATTATACATTATACTTAATGGGTATACTGAACATTATACTTTTCAAAAATTAAAAAAGTAAGAATTAATGAGGAGCTTTGATCAAATTTTTATCTCTTTAGAGGATAATAGAGGATTTTAGAAGTGGTTTTAAAAAAAAGAGGACTTTAGAAGATTTTAGAGGAGCTGCAGACACCCTGATTATAAATGAGGTAAGAGTTCAATACTGTTTTTGATTACCTCAGCATAATTTTGTGTATTCTATCTTTAGAAGACGTTCCACCAATTAACTAATTAATTTATCTGTAATTGATTTATCTGTAAAAAACATGAAGTAAATCTAATATTATGCTTGTGGAGATATATTATATTGTGGAGAACCATCCAAACCACACAAATGGAAAATTTGCATCCAAGTTTCCACTTGTGTGCAAATCTTGCATCCACTTGTCAACATTCTCATTATCACATTTTTCTTTTGTAGTTGTGAATTTAAAATTTTCACAATACTGTTTGCTTTCTTTTAGAATTGAAATAGTTATACAAATAGTTATATATTTTGTATCAACAAAATATATAACTATTTTTTACTCTTTTTACCACATTATTTAAAAAATAAAAATTGTAATTTACAAGAAGAAGTAATTCCAATTAGATGGAATTACTTCTTCTTGTAAATCTTCATTCCAAACAGCTCCTTTCCGCATATGCGATTTTGAAAAAATTACATGAACTAATATAAAATGAAGAAACTGTAATATAAGTGTACTAACAGGCCTAATTAAACTAGCTAAATTTGAACATTTTATAACCATGATACTTGCTAAACAATAATATTAGTAGACATTATAAGCAAAGATAAGATTTTCTTTATTTTATAAATTTATAATATTTTAAACTATTTATTTATTTTATTTATATTTTAAACTATTCATATATTTAATTTATTACTCTATTATTCAGCAGAGTTCTGAATATATAATGTTCAAATAACTTAAGGCTCAATAACAAAGACAAATAATGAAAGAATACTAGGTTGCTAAAACATAAACATCT